CACTCCTAATCGAACATTGGTATCTACTCCTAATCGTAATGATCATAATGCGCACTCATCTCAACGCCGAAATAATTTGAATACACCAAGAAGACACCATCAATCTTCAATTTATCTACAACTGAAAGGTATTAAATTATTGAATATCTTTAAATCAATCTGATATTAATTATTATATATTAATTTAGAACATCATCATCATTGTCGTGAAACTGATGAATGTTTATTTGCTCAATATAAAGGGTTAAATCTTCTTATAAAAGAGCTTAGTGAGGATTTACATAATATCAAGAATGAAATAAAAAAACAGCGTAATGATAAAGAAAAAGAACTTTCACCACAGATTTTTAATGTATGTTTTTCATAATTGTAAAATTAGATCAAGTCAAATCAACTATAATCGATATTTTAAATTAAAAGTCAAATCAATTTATATTGATATTATAAATTTATAGTCATACTTTGTGAGCGTAGCTAAGCAACTCTTTCCAATTAATTTATATCCTTCACAAAATGAACTTAAAAATGCATTAAAAAATTACCTAAATGTAAATCAATCTGAATATATGGCAGATATGTCAGATAATCAATTTACTAACTGTTTCTATAGTGAATGGAGCAGTCTGATAAGCTATATTATTTATTATTTTTAAATAATTCATTTATATTTTATATATGTATAGTTGTTATCAAAAATCAAAAATTATTGTGGGATCATGTTGTCAAATGTCAGATCAGTGCTCGAATCAAAATGTCGTCTCTTTCACCCGTACACCTCATGGGTATCTCAAACAATGCCTCACAAATATCGAAACTCAAAACTGTGTTCCTTCTCAGCAAGAATTCAATGAAACTTCTCCTGATCTTGTCTCCAAACGTACCCGGGCATTTACCCCAGATGAAGAAAGCCAGGATAGTGACTCTGAATATCCTTCTACCAGACAAACTAAAGAAAAAAACAAGTGAAGAATTTCCTTCGCTACGGAATCCGGCACCCCATCCGGTTATGATGAATGGCTTTCTCTCCCACATCAAAATCTAGATGCATCTCGACATGCCTCTTATTATTCCCCAACCCCTTTTCCACCTGCCATGTATGGCAATTTTCCACCTTATCCCCATTACTCTCCCTTTCAC